TCGTCCAAAGTAAAATAGAAAGACTGAAAGGACTAGGAAGAAGAAAATGCAAATGATTGGAAGTAGAAGGACCGAAAGGACCAAGATCGAGAATAATGCAGATGATTGGAAGTAAAGAACTGAAAGGACCAAGGCAATAACAATAATGCAAATAATTAAAAGTAGAAGGACTGATTAAACTAGGAACAATAAGAATAATGACCAGGAACAAAAATAATGTAGATGATTGAAAGTAGAAGCAATGAAAGGACTTGGAAGAAAAATGCAGATAACTGACGACTAAAATAAATTTTATATAATAATAAAAAGAAAGATCTTACCTCAAAATATATAAGAACTAGAGAACAATAAACTAAGTTCAATATTAAAACATTTAACTATTATATTATTTAGTAACAAAAGCGATTGCAAAAAAGTTAAATTGCATTATGGGTAATGTTATTAATAATTTTGCAGGATAGAGCAAGTACAAGAAAACTATCTTAAATAATGTTTCTAATTAAAGTAATTAAAGCAAAAATTGTATACCAATTATTAAAAGTAAAATAGTATGCTTACCGAATACTGTTTCTTGAATATTTAACTTTCGCTAAACTTTATATCTTCGATACACAAAAACGCAATAACGTACAATTGGTTTTCCAAGATCGGGAAAAGATGGAGAAGGCGAGAAGTCCAATCTATGCAAAAAGTTAACTAGTTTTTTGTCTTGTGTTGGCTACTTGAGAATTACCAAAACAAAGATCATTCTGCAGGTACTTCACAATTGATGTAAGAAGTGTCAATTTTGACAATAAATTGAAAATGCTTAAAAATGTTAGCAAATTCAAGTGCAAGTCATAAAACGACTCTACAAAATGAAATACATAGTTAGTTTTAATTTTATTACTATAAATAACAATAACTAATTAGAGTAATCTTTATTTAATTTGGTTTAATATTGTTTCTATATTATTACCTTACTATTATTATTTCTATATTTTTACTTATCTATTTCTAGAAATAACTAGTGAAGTTCAATTAAGGCAGTATGGATTATTTTTGGAAAGATATGAATCTGATTTGGAGAGTATACTCGACGCGATGGAGTTTAGCACAACATCTCAAATTGATTTTGATAAGAATCTTATTAAGCTGGACTTATCGTTGAATGAAACCATTTCTATGAATTCTTTACCAGTTGAGTATGCGATCCTGAATAAGGTAAGAAACTAACAATATTACCTATTTTTACTGACAATTTTGTAAATTTTCAATCTCATATAGGTTGTGCAATCTTTCATTACACTCTGTGTGGAAATCAAGTTACTAAATTGTGAAGCAAGAGATAAATATTACAACTTGATTATGCTATATGGTGAAGGTATGCATGTTTAATAGTCTTTATTTAATTCAATTTTATTTGTTTATGAATTTCAATTTTAGCCGGGGAAGAAAAAACTCAGGAATATATTGAATTTTCAAAATTAGAAAGTATGTTAAAAGTATTGAATGATCTTTGTGTGTTTGTAAATCGATGTCAAACGGTAGTTGTGGAGATAATTGCTCAACTGAATTGTCTTTCAAAATCTGATCACCTTTCACAGTTTTCATATCCTGGAGCAACTGAAATTGTGTGTATAAAATCATGGATTACTGTCAATTAACACAAAATGTAATATTTTGTTTTTTCCAGGATATTTTTTATTACATGTGTGATATGTTGCTTGTTTTAATTACTATAGAAGAAATTTTACAAAATAGCATTATTCTTGATCATTGGAAAATGTACCGTAGAACTGTAAAATCAGTACACAGAAGCCATTCTACATTTAATTTAGATTTAAATGTGTTAGATAATTTAGACGAAATTCTAAACTATATAGAAAATCAATTACTCTCCGAAAACATTATACAGGTAGTTATATTATGCATAATATATTCATTATATTTAATATTGACAATGCATTTGACCTGAATTCTTTTTTTGACTTTCAGAGTACAATCAATAAGTGTGTACATTGTTTGTATCAAAGCAATAATGAAGTAAATAAGGTTTTAGAAAAACGGTTTTATTCATATATAAGGATTTTGATTAATGATTTAGAGAAATGTGATCCTGATTTAATTGATACTGAAAAATCTACCGAGTGGGTGAAATTAAATGTTTTATATATATTCTATATAAAATTATTTAAAGTTAATGATAAGAAGTTTTTTAAAATCTTGAAGGGTGTCAATAAAAAGGTATATATTGTTATTTTTGATTAATTTTTCTATTTATTACTGTATTAACTATTTCAAGGTCCCATGTGTTACTCTAGTTGGAAATATAGTATGGTGCTCTGAACAATTTTTATCTCAGCATTCCAATATTATCAAAGGTTTTGATCAGAGGTTCATTCAAGAAATGAATAGAGTAAAGCAAACATACTTACAAAACAAAACACAGAATTTACTAAAAGATTCACATAACACAGCACTACAAGTACATAATCAATTTTATAAATGCGCCATAATAACATTAGTATGTATTAATTTATGATATCGTATCAATTACAGATATTTACATGGATTTTAGAAATATCAGCAATTTTACAGGAAGGTGCAAATAATTTGAAATTAGAACATTTGACACAACGAACACATTTGTTACTGCAAGTATGTGTGTGAATTTAAGAGAAACTTTATTTGGCATTACTAATTTATATATATAAATATGTTTGTTTTCAGGGCCTTACGCACGCATGTTATTTAAACTATACAATTAAATCAATCACAAATTTACATATGGCTCAAAATAAGCCTATGACTAAATCATGCTTATTATCTGTTTGCAAACTGGTTGAGTTATTAAAGGCAGTACATCAAATATTTTCAAAATATTCAAACCGAATTGTAAATTTTATACATAATATTATGCATTATTTAATATATCAGTCATTAAATATAATTTCTATAACAAAGGTATGTAATTATATTTTATAGCCATTATTTATCAAACTACTTATTCATTATAATCTTTTGTTTCAGAAAGCTTTATTAAATGAAAAATCCTATGTCAAAAAACATCCTGAAGTATTGGCCGTACTTTCACTTTTGAGAGATCATTACATGGTCCAAGTACGGAACGAAAAATAATAATTGCCCATCTGGCATTATCTTGCATTAATGTAACACAAGTATTTCATGATGATAACTTGAGTAAATTAATAAAAGACCTAAAATATATACAAAGGATACAAAATTTTCAAGAATATTTGGATGATACTACAGATTGTTCTTTTTTATTTTGGCATCAATCAATACTGCCAGCATATTTTAGTAATGTTTACGAGAATAAAATGGATATATCTAAAATTTATGTGAGTTCTTTATTTACTGTTATTATTAATGTTCAATGCAAATAAAATCATTTATCAATTATAGTACATGTTTCAAGCATTGAATGATTTTGAAGAATCTGAGGAATATAAGGAAAGCTACATGAAAACAATAGATTCATCATTAAATGAAAAGATTTTGGAACCTTTATGTTCACAAGTAGAAACAGATTTGAGACTTCAAATACACTCACATTTACAGCCAGGTTTAATGAACCCATTTGATGATGGTACTCCAGAAGTTAGTAACAGTTTATTGGAACTAAATCCTATATTATGCGGCCAGAAATATATTGATATTAAAGGTATTTATATTGCCTAGTGATAGGTAATATTCAACTAACACCAAAAGTTTTGTAATACATGTATTACAACTAAAAGGTATTTTAAGGGCACGTGGAGAATTATTTGGATTCCATGTTTTATAATTTAACAACAGTTGTACTCTTTGACTGGAAAACTTATGGGGAAATGAGACGGTTAGCAAATGAGAAATTTTTCTTACATACTATTGAAGATCATCTGCCAACACAAACCTTAGAACAAGTAAGATACATTTTTATGTGTACAATATAGAATACTAAAATCTTTGCATATTTTTGGAGAGTATAATGAATACAATAAGTTGCAAGGTTCAGATATTTATAAATGAAATAAATTAGTAAATGAAATATGTTGGGATGAATATTTTTGTACTTTATTGGTAATTATGAATTTATTCAAAGGGATTGGATGTGTTGGAAATCATGCGAAATATGCATATATTTGTTGCAAAGTATCTTTACAATCTAAATAACCAAATATTTGTTGAGAAATGGAGTAATAATAAGCATTTAAATACTATAAATATTCAACATGTTGCAAACTCAATAAGAACGCATGGTACTGGAACTATGAACACTACAGTAAGTTTTTCTTCATTAATTTTTATTTAGATATTTTCAAACATATTTACTACAAATTTTGCATTCTAGATTAATCTAACATATCAATTTTTGAAAAAGAAATTTTTTGTTTTTTCGCAATTTTTGTATGACGAACATATTAAATCTCGCCTGCTCAAAGACTTACGTTATTTCCGTGAGCATAAAACGGAATCGAATCCCATGTACAGCTATGATAGGGCATACAACTTTAATAAAGCCATTCGAAAGTTGGGTATATCATCAACTGGTCAAAGCTATCTGGATCACTTCAGATTGTTAATAACCCATTTAGGTAACTTTTCAAAAGCATTAAAGATATACATAATTTATATAAAATTATTTATTTCATTTCAAATCTACATTAAAGGAAATGCAATGGGTTATGTACGAATGATAAGATCAGGTGGACTGCATAGCTGCTCTAACGCTAGTGTATTTTTACCAGTACTAGATGAAAACAAAACATTTGAAGAATTGTGTCAGGCGAACTGTTTATCAGAAACAGTATGCCAGGCTGCGCATGTTTTGGAGCAAGATATACGAAATTTAGCATGCAATTTTGCTGAAGGTTCAGAATATTTTAAGGTACGAATTTGTTAAAAAAAAAAAATAACAACTTCTATAGTATAAATATATAAAATTTGCTTCTAGCTTTTAGTAGATGTTTTTGCTCCTGTCTTTCGCAATCCTAGAAATATCCATTTGAGAAATTTCTATATTATTGTTCCATCACTTACAATAAATTTTGTTGAACATTTAATAACAGCTAAAGATAAATTAACTAAGAAGGATAAGTCTGGTGCTGCATTTACGGATGATGGTTTTGCCATGGGTAATATCAAATAGAACAAAATTATTTATATTTCAGTTCTATTATATTATATGTAAACATTTTTAGGCCTTGCATATATTTTGAAGTTATTAGATCAAAATTCTGAAATGGATTCACTTCATTGGTTCCAATCAGTTAGTGAAAAGTGTAATCAGGAAAAACAGATTTTAGCGCAACAAAAAGTTAACGCTAGCAGAGATGATAAAACATTACAACATACCCTATCATTAACTACTAAGAGACTTGAATTGTTCCAACAGGTTAATTATTTATATATCTTTAACAAAATTTATGAAGTTGTTATTATAAAACATTTCTATATTTTCAGGAATTTAAATTACTTTATTATAGCTTCAGCAGTGCAAGAATATTCTTTCAGTGATAAGAGTAGAATAAATGCTCATCATTAAAATAAATGTCTAAATATAATAATTATTGTTACGTTATATATTTATAAAATATGTATCTAAATTTGTAAATAAACAGAATTAAAATATACGCCGATTTTTTTATCAATTTTGTCGTAAGAATGAATTTATTTTAACTACAAATATATTAACTTTTTGAATTCCATTATGATATTTTGAATAGTTTACAATTTTATTTAGTTTAAAATTTGTTTAGGATTTTTCATAAAAACGTGAAGTTTCGGCAAATCGCTTTTAAATTTTTGAAATCCGTTTTTGTTCAAAGCAGGTCCAGCTGTTTCGAAGATACATGACAAAAAGTGCAAAAATGGCAATTCAGTTTATAAGAGAACTGAGTGTCCGATTTGAATGATTGATTCAAAAAGTATTTCATTTGGAAATTAAAGAATTGTTTTGGGAAGGCTGGTCCAGTGATTTTGGAGATACAATAAACAAAGTTAAAAACTATGCCTTTTGGCGGTCAAAAATAATTATTTGACATATGCACATCAAATTATTAGATATTTTATAGAGATTTTAATAATAAGTACAATGTCTGTTCACATTTATATGGGTTCCTTATCAAGATTCATAATGTTTAGCCGTTAGAGATTGCGCAGATTCAATATTTCGTCTCTAAAGCAACTTTTCAAAAATATTTTAAAAAAAATCAAATTTTGCAAAAAATTCCAAAATTCTTATTTTTTTTTCTAAAATTTTAAATTATGGTACGAATAGTTTGAGCAACTTGTCTTAAGGCTAAGGTTACTAGTTCAATTCTGGTGTCAAACTATTCAGAATGACTTGAGAACATATAAAAGAAAATCAGATTTTCTGGTGAAAACACACTTTCCCTTTGAGAAGAAGTTAACAAGAATCTGAATACGCACAAAAATTTCTATAGAAGTGCCTTAAAGATAGCAGCACCATATATGAAGAAGCTGCACCGACTAGATGAAACCACTGAACTTTATTTTAATTCTTATAGCGGTTTGCGATTATTATAAATACTGGAATAGTTATATTACTGATTTTTATTTGCTACCGAACTACTCTAATTTGACTCTAGGAGCTGAGATTTTATCACAAATTAGTGGTGCATGGCATCGTGCCTTAAAATAAATTGCTGGAACTTATTGCCGTACCGTATTTTTTTTTTTTTGAAAATCAGATTTGTGAGAATTTTGAATTTATTGAAAATAGAATCTATTATTTAAAATATTAGATCTTTTTTTTTTTTTGAAAAATTGACTTTTTTAAAAATTTTGAATCCCATTCAAGTCGGTTGAACCATACTGTTAAAAATGCCTAGAACACTTGTCTTTTTTTAAAAAAATTAGATCTTTTGAAATTTTTGAAATATTTGAAAAGATCGACTTTTTCAAAAAAAATTTGAATCCCATTCAAGTCGGTTGAACCATACTGGTAAAAATGTCTAGAACACTTGTCTTTTTTAAAAAAAAAATTAGATTTTTTGAAATTTTTGAAATATTTGAAAAGATCGACTTTTTTTTAAAAAATTTTGAATCCCATTCAAGTCGGTTGAACCATACTGTTAAAAATGTCTAGGACACTTGTCTTTTTTTAATATTAATTAAAGAAATTTTTTGAAGATTTTGAAATATTTGGAAAGATCCGACTTGAATAGGATTCAACATTTTTAAAAATTTCGAACGACACTGTTAAAAATGTGTAGGACACTTGTCTTTTTTTAAAAAGATAGATTTTTTGAAATTTTTCAAAATTTTAGAATATTTGAAAATATCGACTTTTTTTAAAAATTTTCTATGACATTTGTTTGAAGTATATATGTAAACTTTCGATTTTGAAGTATATATGTAAACATAATAAATTATGGTACCGAGCCCATAGAAAAGGAAACAAATATTGTGCTTATTACTAAAATCTTCTAAAAATATCTGATAATTTGATGTGCATATGTCTAACTATTATTTGGCATTTTTTAACTTGTTTTTATTTTTAGATCTCCAAAACCGCTGGACCCGACTATCCCAAAAATTTAACCAATTCTTCATTCCGTTAATACAAGTGAATGTTTTTCTAATCAGCAAATCGGACGCTCCGTTCTCTCAAAATTGAATAACCATTTTGGCACTTTTTGATTTTCATCTTCAAAAAGGGCTAGACCTGCCTTTTCAAAAAACTAATCGACACGTCTCTCTATCAATAGGAATCGAATGTTTCTTCATTCATCTTTAAAACGTCCTCAAAAAATTGTCTCCGTACCAAATGAAAAGAACCAGTAATTAATATCTTTTCATTTGGTGGCAGCGGTGAGATAACATAAAATATTATAATAAATACATAATAGTGCATCATTTTTTATCAAAGGGTACTGAGAAGTAATCAGCAAACATTGTTATACTAAAAAGAATTGTTTTAATCTTTTTTATTAATTTTATTTACTATTTGGTTCAATTAATTCACTCACAAAATGCTCAGAACCCTTTGAAACGTAAAGATATGCAAAAAAATTCTTTACGATTTTTTTGCAATTACTATAACTTACGCTGCGGAAATTGTGAATGAGAGGAATACCCTAAAATTGTGAATGAGAGTAATGATACAGAGGTCTTTTAGCCAGAAGCTTGACATTAAACGTATGGCTGTACTACAAATTATTTGCCAAAAGTCGGTCAGGTCATTTATTCGAGTTATACTAATTTAGGGTAGGTTAAGGCTAAAGGCCCAGATCGACGGTGTACCAACTAGAACAGCTGGCGGTGGACAGCACATAGCACAATGGTCCAACGGCCCAACGGCCCAACGGCCCAACGGCCCAACGGCACGCCGCTGGGATTGTTCATTCTAAAATCTCGTACGGTGCGCGCGCATTCCGCATGCGATCAATGAAGATATGCAGACCGTGGGGAGAAATGCTCAGACACGAACAGGGTTGATTCGACAATTCATTTCTTCGAATCAATCGAATCATTTCTTAGTTTTGAACGAGATATAACATATATATGCATCTCTTCTGCATGATTTGATTTATATCAGCAAATGCAGATGCTACTTGATAAACGAGGTAAAGCGCATATTTTATAGAAAAAGGTAATAAATTTACTCACGTTGGAAACTGGAATGTGCACGGTGAGAAGCGCAGAGGTGTGCTTCATCTTATTTCAATACAGCATCCGACATGACGAAGAATACTGAAATATAATCATTTTCATTATTCAAAACAAATTTTAATAATTTTTTCTACAGTAAAACTCCTTTAAGACGATTTTTCAGGGAATATGTACTTACTATTTATAATCTTTCTCTACTTCTATAATTACCATAAAAATATAACTTATTCATTATCTGTGTTATTATGTATTTAACTGGTTTTTGAGTTCAGATTTTTAAACCAGTTCGTCTGCAATAAATTCTTACACAACGGATTATATATACACCGTAATAAAGCTAAGCATTTTCTAAAACTGGAAGATCATACGAATACTATAGTTGCTCAATTTCTTCACCGTTATTACCATTACTACATACGCAGAAGAAAAGTGTGCTTGTTCATAGACTTGTGTTACATATAAAGGAGAGTGAATGGCACTAATTAGGAGGAAAGTATAATTAAGAGAGAGAATCATAGCATTCTAGATCCTTCCCCCCATGAAGTAATGCCTAATGGCAGTTCCCGTGGCTAAAGAAAAGCGGAGGTTTTGGTCGGTATTATACCCAGGCGGTTTTGAACTCGACATATCCAAGTCATCCAAGCCTCATCAAAACATACACCCAATAAATAATTCTGGATAACTATTATAATTTATGATTTTATTTTCTTCTTTCTAAAATGCAATAAACTAGTGGTGCATCGCATCGTGCTTTAAGGCAAATTGCTGGAACTTCCCGTACGGGGAAATTAAATTTGAAAAAAACTGAAAATTTTCGATTTTTGAGAAATTTTGAAATTTTTGAAAAAAAACTGACTTTTGAAAAAATTAATTTTTTTGAAAATTTTGAACATTTTCTTTAAGCAATCGCTCTGCATAGCTAATTTGGAGTCGTAATATCAAAGCGCGTAAGCGCCGCGTAGTCGTCTAACATGCAAACTTTGGTACCGAACCAATAAAAATGTACACAAAATTTGTACTTATTATTATAATCTTTATAAAATATTTGATAATACGATGTACATATGTCTAATGTTTATTTTTGACCGCCAAATGGCATTGTTTTTCACTTTTTTTATTGTATCTCCGGAGACGCTGGACCTGCTTTTACAAAAAATCAGTTGTTCATTTAGTCAAAACAAGTAAAATGTTTTTTGAATTATTTAAATCGAACGCTCCGTTATCTCAAAAACTGAAATACCATTTGTGGCACTTTTTGCTCCGTATCTCCGAAACGGCTAGAACTGCCTTTGCCAAAAACTAATCAGCACGTCTCCTTATCAGTAGGAATCGAGGATTTTTTGAATTATTCAAATCGGTTGATCCGTGTTCGCGGAGTCGTCGACGAAAATTTGTATCCGCACACACATACACACATACATACATCAATTTTTTCTAATGCATGCTAAAATGTTCAGAAACGTCTGAAACGTAAAGATCTATAAAAATTTTCATTTTCTATTTTTTGCGATTACTATAACTTACCCTACGAAAAGTTAATTACCCAATAGAGAACAATTAGAATTAGAATATTGTATCATAATTGTAATAATTTGAAAGAGTTCAGTTCATCCAATCCTGTTCGGTAAGAATTGTATAGCTAGGCGGAGTTGGTCAACAAGTTTGAATGTCGGGTGGCATGCTGGTAGCAAAATGTGTGTAGGCATTGAGAGATATGCTTTAAACGTGGTAGTATGTGCCCTTTCATTCTTAGAATTTGCAAACGGGTAAATATCGGAACTACTTGGAACTTGGAACTTGGAATCGTATCTTATAACAGGAGGCATTTTTATATTAGACTCAACTATGATTTATCGTAATCTATGCAGAAAACGATGACG